TGCCCGGGTGAAGGCATGCGAGGCTCGTGTTTCCTGCGGTAATGACCCTGCGACTCCGAAGGCTGGTGAGGGCATTGGTATCGAGGATGAGCTCCCTTCTGATGATGATGATGCTATTGGAGAGAACGACGGTGGGGATGATGCTGAGTGAAGATTTTGCTGTAACCTTTGTACTTAGTTTTTTTTTTTTTTTTGGTTCTTTTGTTGTTTAATATCATCTTTTCCTGAGGGCCCGTTTCGGCCTTTTGTAGGGTGCGGCTATCACGCATGTACATTTGAATAAAATAGTTGTTTCACCTTCGTTTGCGTATCTTTTGATTTTCGTTGTGATGAGTCCCTGATCCTTTTTGATTGTGAATCCGAACTTGCCAGTTCGAGCGAGGTTGACTTCTGATTTGCCAACTCAGGCGGAACCAACCTTAATTCAAACGAGGTCGAATTTTAATTCGCCACCTTGGGCGAAGTTAGTTTCGACTTGTATACTCAAGTGGGATTGAATTCCGACTTACCAATTTAGGCGAAGTCAATTTCTCCATATGTATCCGAGCGAGGTCGAACTTGGAGTTGCCATCTTGGGCGAAAGCTTGACTTATATACTCGAACGAGGTCGAAATTGGAGTCGCCATCTTGGGCGAAGTCAATTTCTTACTTATATACTCGAACGAGGTCGAATTTCGATTTGTTGATTTGGGTGGGCGAACTTTTACTTTTACTTGGCGGTGGCCGATGGTCGTAAAGATGTGACTTTGAGAGATCGAAGTCGTAATCCGTTGTAGATTCGAGAGAGGTCGAACTGTCCTTTCATATGGCGATGGCCGATGGCCGTAAGGGTGTTAATTGGAGCGAGGTCGAAGTCGTAATCCGTTGTAGATTCTAGCGAGGTCGAACTGTCCTTTCATATGGCGATGGCCGATGAATGTAAGGGTGTTAATTCGAGCGAGGTCGAAGTCGTAATCCGTTGTAGATTCGAGCGAGGTCGAACTGTCCTTTCATATGGCGATGGCCGATGGCCGATGGCCGTAAGGGTGTTAATTCGAGCGAGGTCGAAATTGTAACCCGTTGTATTATTTTTACTGGAGAACATTGCTCGTTGCCGCATTGTTTACGCGTGCATCGGGGCAAGTCCCGGTTTGCTCAATTTTGCTTTCATTGGAGAATATTGTGCGTTTCATGGGTGAGTCCCAGTTTGCTCAATTTTGCTTTCATTGGAGGATATCGTGCGTTTCATGGGTGAGTCCCAGTTTGCTCAATTTCGCTTTCATTGGAGAATATCGTGCGTTTCATGGGTGAGTCCCCCGTTCCGGAGATTGTTTCTCAACAGTCGACCCGTGCCGAGCCGTTTCTGTTATTTGTAGTACGGTACGGTTTAGAGGGTTTTGCCCGGTTGTTCCTTGCGAGATAACGAGGTATGGAACCTTTTCCTGGGGTGTTTTGGTGGTGTCTGTTCCTCGTTTGCGTACCTATGAGAGTGCTCGTGTTCCTGTTCTGATCCAACAAGAGAGCATGATAAGTTAAATCCAAACGAAATGCCTTACCTTAGCCTGGCCAGCCGGTGAAAGGAGGCGCAGCGCTGTAGGGTCACTCGCTTTGCCTCGTACCCGAATGATGGTTTCGAATTTGGCGGTCGTGTTCGGCTTCGTCGTTACTCGCGCCTAGGCTTCTCCTGGGTTGGACTTACCTTGCCCATTGGGGCATTGAGACCGAGTCCCAGTCCGACCCCGTCTGATATGTGTAAACAATAAGGGAAACATGTCATACTTTGTTCGTAAATCATCCAGTGCATGTGGGTACGAAAATAAGGCAGGATATGCCCGCTATTTCAAAGGGTCACACAGTAGGCTATCATCCCTTCCTAAGAGGTGGGAGTACAGGCCGGTATACAAGGTGAATACGTCACATGGGGTTGTTGTCATGCCAAGCGCATAGTGACCGTGATCCTACTTTAAACATGCATATGACGTGCTAAGCCCATCGCTACGGGTGAGGTGTGGGTTGTATGTAGACATCGATCACAATTTCTATTTTACGTAGAGATCTGACCTAGATTGGCATGGTTATCTTAAAAGCTTATCTACCATTCCTTTTGAGTTGGTGTTTATACCGAGATGGTGAGGTTGTGACAGCCTGGAAGTAATACTTGGCTAGTCCTAGATCTAAAGGAAACTAAAAAAAATTGGCTAAGAAATCCCCACAGACGGCGCCAAATTGTTTGACCAAAAAGTGTTGAGCCTTTTAGTTAAACTAATTAATGATAAAAATGGAAGGTAAATCCCAGCCAAACATAATAATTAACTTTAGATCTAAGCATATTGAATAAGAGAATCGTATGAGACCAAGCTTAAATTGTTTGACCAAAAAGTGTTGAGCATTTTAGTTAAACTAATTAATGATAAAAATGGAGGGTAAATCCTAGCCAAACATAATAAACTTTAGATCTAAGCATATTGAATAAGAGAATCGTATGAGACCAAGCTTGCATAACATTTCTTAAGACGATTGAAGAACATCAAATGTAAATGATAAGCTTACATCTTTGACACCAAATTGTTTCGCATCTGAAAGAGCGAAGAAGAAAGAGAGAGAATCTCGTTGAGAACTAAGAGATCTATCTTTATTGATTCAATGGTAACGATTACAAAAGCTTGTCACCAAAATCTAGGCTTCTACTTTGTTGTTGAAGGTCTCCTCCCGTTCTTCCGTTCCTTCTTCTCTCCTAGGAGAATCCCCTCTTTTCTTGCTTTCTTACCCCATATATATATTACAAGTCTTCCCCTTTATCTAACGGTCTTTTACCAGCATACTCCCTCTCGACTATACTCTTCTTTACTTGCTCAAGCGTTACGGCATATATTCTGTCGTGCAAGTCTTTCGATGGCTCGATCTCGGCAGTGGCCGAGACATTCGTCGCCGTTGCGCGTTATGGGCAGGACTAGAGCTTGGTCGACCCCTTACCATTTCTTTTAATGATAATCCATTTGTGGTCAGATTTTGACCCATACATTTATGAAAGTTATTTATGTTTGTACGTGAATGTTACTTTTGCAAAACATTTGTAAATACTAAAGGTATTCAAGTAGAAATAAAATTTGTAAAACTTGAACTTCATATATTCTTATTGTAATAACTTAACCAAATAATGCTAAAAAACGAACCAAATGCTACCTTTCACATATGTGTTTTGCATATTTTTCTCATAATAACTACATACTAGTAAAAAAAATTCAGCCAAAATTGCGCATTTTGGGGAAAAATTCTTCACAAATATCATAAAAATTCAACTTTATTTCCAAGAAATTAAGTCCAAATACGTTTGTTCTCAACTTCTACTTTAAATACTATATTATTTTTATAACTCTAACCAAATAATGTCCAACCACTCACTTACAAATTCAAGTAATTATTTTAAATATTTCACTTGGAATCTAAGTAATAGTCACCTGAAAATGAAAATACTGAAATAATTATTTCATGACCTACCAATTACCATGCCCTATATCTATTTAGATTTATTTAATAAAAATTGCATGGGGCGTCCTATTTGATCGCCACTTCTTAACTTGTACCCGTTTTATTTTTTCGTTTGCATCCGTACTCATTATCTTGTTAAAAGCATTTTAAAAAGATGATTTTGCCATTCTTTAATAAAAGATTACTTTTAGCAAAATAGACTGAAGTTTCGGATAAAACTCATGACAAAACTGTAGACTGCAAGACAAAACTTCAGCATATTTTGGTATGAAGTTTTAGCAAATAAACTAAATAACTTCAGCATGCATTAGCAAAAACTTAAGCATGTTTAGTCTGAAGTTTTGGCAAATGAATAAAAAGACTTCAGCTTGTTTAGACTGAAGTTTCGGATAAAACTCATGACAAAACTATCGACTGAAGGACAAAATTTCAGCATGTTTTGGTATGAAGTTTTTAGAAAATGAACTAAATAACTTCAGCATGCATTAGCCAAAACTCATTAGAAAATTACATACTGCAAGACAAAAACTTAAGCATGTTTAGTCTGAAGTTTTAGCAAATGAACTAAAATACTTCAGCTTGTTTAGACTAAAGTTTCAGATAAAACTCATGACAAAACTGTAGACTGCAGGACAAAACTTCAGCACGTTTTGGTATGAGTTTTAGCAAATGAACTAAATAACTTAAGTATGCATTAGCAAAAACTCATTAGAAAATTACATACTGCAAGACAAAAATTTATGCATGTTTCGTCTGAAGTTTTAGCAAATGAACTAAAAAACTTCAGCATATTTAGACTGAAGTTTCGAATAAAACTCATGACAAAACAGTAGACTTCAGCATGTGTTGGTATGAAGTTTTAGCAAATGAACCAAATAATTTCAGCATGTATTAGTATGAAGTTTTAGCTTAAATGCGAAACAACTTCATTCTATATTAGCATGAAGTTTTAGCTTCATTGAAACAACTTCATGCTACATTAGCATGGAGTTTTAACTTCAACGTGAAATAACTTCATATTATATTAGCATGACGTTTTAGCTTGTATTTGATTAAAACTTCACACTTCAACGTGTAACAACTTTTTTCTATATCCTTCACGCATTAAATTTGAAGTTTTGAAAAGTTTTTGAAGACCCGTAAGTGAAAAATTCATGCTATATCCGTCAAACAACTTCATGCAAGTGTGATTCTGAAGATGAATCTAGTTCAAGTTTCTGGTTTTTTGATAAAGTTGTTGAGAGGAGGAGGAGATCTTTTTTCACGAATGAGGTTGTAGATCACACGATTAATGCGTGATGCAGGTTTTATATCTTTTGTTAGGGGTATAGTTATCATATTATTACGAATTTTTTGTCAGCTGGCTACCAAATTAATAATTTTTAAAAATAGGGTACAGATTAAACGGTGGCACAAATATAGGGTACGGCTACAAATCTCCCATTTATTTAAAAACGACGAGGCCAACTCCTAAACCTGAAAACCATTTAGGTAAAAAACTATAATTATGACAAAAGAGAGGGGCAAGAAGTGTAATTACGCAGAAGAGATAAAAGGGCAAAATCCCCTCCAGATCAAATCTTCACTAGTAGTCTAGACCCTCAATAAAAGTTCGATCCGATCGATTTTTAGTTGCATAAACCCCAATCAACAACGCCCGTAAGTCATTTCTTCGCTCTTTTTTTTTTTTTTTTGCACAAATATATGTATTTCACAATTCCTTTTAACAGTGAATTGAAGGTTTCTTTTTCTGTAATTGCAATTTAATTTTGGGTGCAGATGACAGTACTAGAAGTGGAAGCGCCGAGCCCAATGAGGTATATGATGGGAGCAGCTGTAATGATGATCGGAGTTGTATTGCCGCTTGCTTATATGATGTTTAGGAACAAGCGTGTTCCTTCCTCTTCTTCTTACGCTAAACAGACGTAGGTATCTCCCTTTCTCTTATTTCCTTTAGTTAATTTTTTTTCTGATCCTTTTTCTTGAATGCCTATTTTCTCATGGTTTATAATGTTATATAACAACAACAACAAAAAAACCGGTGGAATCCCACAAAGTGCAGTCTGGGGAGGATAGAGTGTACCCAGACAGGATAGAGTGTACCCAGACCTTACCCCTACCTTACGAAGCTAGAGAGGTTGTTTCCGATGATCTCGGCTCAAGAAGAAAAATCTAAAAAGGAAGCAGAAACAACAAGTAGTAACCATAGCAAGCAAAGGTGATATAATAGTCGGAGCGAATGAAACGACTTATAGTAAAAGAAATCTACGGATACGAAGAAATGAAAGTACGAGAATAACACTAACAAGACATGAAAATAAGACGCCCGCTTAACCGCTACCCTTCTACCCTAATTCTCAACCTTCATACCTCTATCAAGGGTCATGTCCTCAGTAAGTTGAAGTAGCGTCTTGTCATGCCTATTCACCTCTCCTTATACTTCTTAGGGCTCCCTCTATCTCTTCTCAGCTCCCCCATTGCCGACCTCTCACACGTCCTCACTGAGGCATATATGCACCTCTTCTTCACATGCATGTACCATCTCAATCTAGCTTCCCTTATCTTGTCCTCTACAGGTGCCACTCCCACCTTATCTTGTCCTCTTATCTTATCCAACCGGGTATGCCCACACATCCATAACATAGTAAATACATAGTTAACCGGGGTTTAGCCCCTATATAACATAGTAGGTCTAACTACCACTTTGTAGAACTTACCTTTAAGTATTGGTGGCACCTTCTTATCACACAAAGCCTCCGAAGCGAGCCTCCATTTCATCCACCCTACTCCAATACGATGTGTGACATCTTCGTCTATCTCACCATTACCTTGAATTATAGATCCGAGGTACTTAAAACTCCCCTTTTTAGGGATGACTTGTGAATCCAGTCTCACTTCCACGTCTGCATCATGGGTCGCGTTGCTGAACTTGCAGTCCAAGTACTCTGTTTTAGTCCTGCTCATCTTGAAACCTTTCGACTCCAGGCTTTGTCTCCACACCTCCAGCCTCGCGTTAACACCACTTCGCGTCTCGTCAATTAGTACTATATCATCCGCAAATAACATGCATCATGGCACCTCCTCTTGAATGTGCCGCATCAGAACATCCATCATCAAGGCAAGTAAAAATGGGCCAAGCGCAGATCCCTGATGCAAGTCCATCCCGATAGAAAGTGTTCCGAGTCGCTTTCCACCGTCCTAACCTTTATATAAGCACATAAACGAAATTTGTGGATATAAATAAATAACATGATATGATATGTACTCTTAGATTCTTTGTGTTTTAGAGAATCCTAATTGTACTTGACAAGACAAATTATTTCATATTGGCAGAGAATTTGTATGAAGACCCTGATTAGTTTGGAATTGCAGTGGCGTTAATTGATTGGTTGAAATGACTATGAATGTGCATTTTTTCCAAATATAATTTTTTTTTTTTGTCGGCTTCATATCCGGTGTCTGGTACCTCTTTGGGGCCGACTAATCCGGATGTGCCGGGAAGTCCCACTTAGAGTTAGGAGGTAAATTGCTTCCCTCAAAAGCCGGCTCCATTCCTAGGACTCGAACCATAGATTCCGGTTAAGGATATAGAGATACTTACCACCCCCACCACAACCTTTGGTGATAGTGTGTATATATATCAATCAAGTGAATTTTGTTCTTGAGGGATCAATTCAATAAAAGAAGAAAAAAGTAATTTGAGTCGGTCTTGAAACAATTCATTGCATTTTCTCTTAAACTTGCTAGGTATCCTCATAGGAGCTCTTCATGCTCTGGTACCTTTGTAGAACATTATTTCATTTGTTCGTGTCTGAACACTTCCAGCCACGAATTTAGTCCCACAAGGTGCTCTATAATGTCAGGCACTCCAGAAAGATGCTATTTTGTTTAATCAATATGAGGGGAAATGTTTATGTTCTGATGATGTTCTTTTGGAGTATATGGTGTATGAATTATGTGATTCTCACATGAAATATGGTCTTTAATTTTCAGGAACAAGGTTCTTATATAGAACGTGGAGGCATACGGAAAACAAGTCTTTGAAAAGGAGAAGGAGAAGAGCACAAGAGGGTGGTACCTCATCAACTCTTGTAAAAGCATTGTACTTATTTGGTTCCAGCTCTGCTGAACTATATGGTTTATTTTTTCTGATTCAATTAAAAACAAATGAAAGGAAAAGGATAGTTTATATAGTTTCCCAGTGTTTAGTTCGTGTTTTCCTCTCAATGATATAGTTTAGCTTCCTAATCACGGATCAAATAGAAAGGAAACCTAGTGCCCCTGTATTCTTATTCTTATTATCTCCTTTATTGCGAGTTGTTATCGTGATTTCTATTGCCTAGTATGCAAACTATAATACCAGCAATCCCTTTGGGCTTAACCAGAATTATATTTTGTTGCTCCAGTTTTACGGTATAAGCCTGCGTTGATATATTTGATGTGCCTACATGACCATGAAGATGCATACATTCCCAAGTTATGGGATGTTCGCTAAAGCGTGGTACTGCCAAGTTGCAGTAAGCTTTTCCATTTGTCCTCTCTTTTCTAGTACTGAGCATCTGTAGTTTCTTGGTTGGTTTTTTTGAGCAGAAGATGTTCATTAGGCTGTGTGATCTGCATCTTGGGCAGTGCATTTCTAACTAATGGGACTTATGGTGTATGCTTGATTGCTAGCTTTTACTGATAAGTGTCCCGTGGCCTCTTGTGATTCTGATGATTTCTAAGAAATAGGATTCTTAACATGGATCTCATAGCTAATTTACTTAGCTTTGCTACTATTTTCCTCATTCCTCTTGTGATTTTGATGTATTTCTGTTACAGAAAGATTGTTAGCTTTGCTGGTAGGTTCCTCATCTCACATGATTGTGTGATGATATTTTTAACGGGCAAAGGGTCAAAAATGCTCCTGAACTATGCGAAATTGAACACTTTTACCCTCTATTAAAAGTTGGTCTCGACTCTATCCATGTCACTAGCAAAGTGACTCAAATTTGCTCTTGTGGACTAACATGCCTCATTTCTTTATTTTTTTAATTAGCATTTATTTTCCCAAATGATATACCACGTGTTTGAATTGAATCAAAGTGAACCAAATTTACCCTTATATTATGTGTGTGATCCAATTTTGCCTCCTACTCCACCACCACCACCTCTCCACAGGTTTGCCCTACATAATCTTATTTTGAATGAATCACTAGATCGGGAATATGCATATTTCATGTTAATGATTTTTCAACACTTAGTATACGGTGATAGTTTCTATAATTTGCTTTTTTAGCAAAAGTATGTAAAGTATTATCTTATAAATTGGTTTAGAGGGTTGCCAAATGATTTCCTAATTGTAATAGTTTTTAGACATGTTCATTGCTTCTTATAATTTATCTTGCTAATATGTCGAGTTGGTTCCAAAAAAAAAGTTGATATATTTAATGTTTTCTTAGCTTTATATTTGCTTATCTTGATTACAGTCTATGTAACTGCATGTCTATGTAACTGCATTTAGTCTGAAAGTATAGTCACAAAACTTAAATGTCTGAAACAAGCCACATATTAGTTATGCAGATCATGTTTATAAATTTTCTCACCCGACATTGTAATGTAGTTTCATGAACGATTAATTTTTAATTTTTTGCTAAAAGTACTCTCACTAGTCTTTTGGAGTATTTTTGTTTTTTATAGCAATTATCCTAGTAAAACCTTTAAGTATATGATATACGAGTTGTGAAGGATGGATGCTTAATTAGGGACACATGGTTTGGAGTGTTCGTCGGTCGGTATGGTACGGTATTTAGATATTTCGGTTCGGTATTTTTGGTATTCGGTTTCTTAAAATTCTATACCAATATTGTACCTAATTAAATTTGGTATGGTTTGATTTATCTCTTTTCGGTTTCCGTTTATTCGGTTTGAATACTAACAAGTGCATAGAGTCATAGACTATAATATTCTTAATAAAGTACTCAAAAGTACAAAACAGAAAACGTTTGTTGACAAAATTTTGTCCAAAACCAGCAAATATCAACCTAGAGATAGAAAACTGCACATAAAGCAATAAATTTGATCATTAGAAGTGTCTTAGAGTTAATTGATGAACTTAGAGAATAAAGGAAAGTAAAATTTTGATTTTTTATATTTATGATAATTAATAATATGTGTTTTGTGTAATATAATATATATCTCGGTACGGTATCGTTATTTGGTATTTTATTTAAAAATATCAAATACCATACCTAATACTATATTTTTTAAAGACTTAGACGAAATACCATACCGAATACCAAATATCAAAATTTTCGATGTAAATACAGTAATTCGATATTTACCAAATTATGCACGTCTCTACACATGGTGGCAAACTGATAAAGAGTTGGTAGTGGTGTATGAGGCAAAATTGAATCATACACAAAGTATAGGGGCAAAATTGACTAATACGCATATGTAGGGGTAAATTTGGTTCACTTTAGTTTAGTTAGGACATGTGTCATATTAGCTGGCTAGAAATGCTAATTAAAATAAAAACATAAAGAAAATAAGGTCTATTAATCAAAAGGGCAATTTTGAGCCAGTTTGCTAACGACAGGGATATATTCGAGACTAATTTTTAACGACAGGGATATATTCGAGACTAATTTTTAAATGAGGGTAAAATTGTTCAAATCGCATATTTCAGGAGCATTTCGTTTTTACCTTTTTCCTATTTTAATTGTGTTCACTTCCCAGAAAAAAATTGGTTTTACCACAATCTTGAGTAACTTTAATAGACTACTGAGTTTTGTGGATGTAGTTGCAGGAAAAAGTGTGGTTGACATTGTGTTTGGTGTTCCATTAGTCATGTTATTGGCTAACGAAAAGTTATATTTTCGTAAATGAATTGGTGAACTGTAATGTCTTTAGAATAGAAGTTCATAACTTTGATAGCTAGTTCATTAATTTGGTTGCTTAAATTGCTATTATCAATACAAGAGATGCAACGTCTCTACAGTTTGTTCCTAAGTGATTATGTTGTCCAAGAGCGCTTCTCGGAGGTGTGCCACTCTTATCTCATTTTCTTGTCCTGAAAATAAAAACAAAAAGAAGGAAAAAGAAGGGACAAAAAAAAAAAAACTTACAAGAAAAACAATTTTTGGAAAACTACAAGTAAAATTGAGATGGCGTCGCAACAAATGTCATCAGACACTAAATATTAGTAGGAAAATTATATTGACCTACACCAAATATATACACACATTGGATTTGAACTGGTACACGAGCCCATGTACCATGAGCTGTGACAATAAATTAGGGACATTGCTACCATTTATTTTTGCCAAAATATATTGTAGAGGTAAAAGTAAGTTCCAATAGTTTCTTTTAGCTAACTGAATTCTATTAAGCCTATGGGCATCGGGGGCCAAATTGCTCATGGTTCCTGTTAGAAAGGTTTCGTGACATAGTTTGCACTTGATCCATGCTAAGCGTTTCACAACAGTTGATATAGCCCTGGTTATGCAGAGAATATTCCAAGAAAAAGTTGTTAGTCGCAAAAAAGCCGAATTCAATGGATTGAAATAGGAGAGAAAGGAACAAATGAACTAGGATTATTCAAGTAAAGAAACAGAACATGAACACTAGGAGGAAGTAGATATTCTTTTTGTGTTCCGAGGAAGAAAAATAAATTAATATAATACCAGAACGTATGGAGAGGATGCACAGTCTTAACTACTAGCAACAGTTGCGCCCTCTTCTCGTTCATAGTTGTTTCATATTCCTTACGCCTTTCATATCCCTACTTAATGTACTCAGTATTATTGGCGAGCTCACGCCTCCACTGATCAACCAATAGCACTCCCTCCTTTCCGGTTTAAAGTGCATCAATCTTCTTGTCTGAAAATACATAATCTATAAATTTGAAATCACTAACCACTAATTAAGAAAAGTTTGATTGGGCAAGTATTCTTACAGTGGGATCATTACAGGCGTCTCATCATTGTAGTGGTCATCATCCAAAATTTGAACAATCAAAAATAGGTGTAGCATGTTAGCACAATTTATTCAAAAATGAAAAACATATCTAGCATAACAAAGTATTGATAGTACTTTGACAACATGCCAGATGTCGTTCTCTTTTCACATTATTGCTCAGCATAACCACCTACTTGTTTATCCTTTCGACTTCTAGTATTGTGTGCGCATGCATTGTTTGCTAAGTGAAAACTAGTTAATTCCAACATGCACGAGCCATTGTTAAGCTCCATTAGTTACTTCTTTCCCACTATGGACTCCAAATTCTTTGCAATGCAAATCTTTTTCATGACTATGAAGAACGTGACAACCAATCTCATTTTTTTCATATGTGTTGTTTCCACCACAATGTAAAATCCTATTAAAGTTTAGTTTAGTTGCATCAAATAGAAGTCACCATTGAGACTGAGGAAGAAGGTCCTCCGAATGATCATGAATTGAATATTATCAAAGGTTTGAGACTATTTTTTAAAGGCTAAAAATATGTAACTTTGTTAAGTTTGACACAATTGTAAAAATACTAGTATTTATGTATGTCTATTGCATGAAGACGCTAAAAGACTTAAAAATATTTGGATTACATATTCTAAAAAAAATTGTTTGAACTATAAATTCTCACAATGCAAAATATGTTTGAACGTGATATATATAGCCGACCGAGTGGGATTTAACTACAGTTGCTATATTTGTATATTGTTGGATGAGATACGAGTCTTATTTATACTATGAGTTGTATGTATTATAAATTTGGATTAATATAAATGTCATGCTAATGTATAGTTGTTAAAATATTTTATTTATTTTGAATTGCTATCGAATATTAAATATTTTTCTCTAACTTGCAAGATTTGACGATTAGTTATTAAATATTTTTCTCTAACTTGCAATCTTTAACGCACTTTATATGGCATTCTGATGTATACATTTTCCCTTATAGTATTCCATAGATAATAGATACTATAGATACCGCTAACTTGACAGAACACAAATGGGTTTTTTTGAAGTACATCTCTTCCTTCTCTCTAACTTTATACTCACTCCTTCACACTGTTACTACTTTCTAACTAGCTTCTCCTTTCTCATGCAAATCTACTGAAAGTGGCTAATAATCCATAACACTGGGAAGCATGGCAAACAGTTACCTTTCCAATAAAGCAAAGCCAACGTCGTAAAACACATGCAACTCCTTCCCAAATTACCAAGCAAGGCTACCAAGACCATCAGAGGACGGCGTTACACAAGAAAGAGGTTCAATCTACCCCCACACGAGAACCAAGTATGTTTTCTATCCTTAATGGGCCAAATTTGGGGCATCTAGATTTGGGCCCTTCTAC